TTTATTCTTTTGACTTCCACAGTAATGAGTTCTCCTCTTTATTGCAAAAGAAAACAACAATGTAGCCAAGAGGCAGACAAAAGAGAAGATACACATCGGAGCGGAGCAAAAGACCTAAGAGTGGTACCTGCCAACAGGACGGTGGTCTAGGTACCTGCCCCCCAAGTGTATGATACAGGAACCCGAGTGAGAAGCACTGGGCCTTGCTCCCTTTCAGGGAGGCCTGGCAACCTAAGAGCGGGCAGAGCCAGGAGCTGCCCCAGAGAGCATTCACCACATCCACCAGGCTGAAGAGCGCCAGTAAGGATGTCCTTGAAGTGTCTCAAACTGGGTTTCTGCAGAGTGTCTCCGTCTACGTAGGGTTCAGTCTGGAACTCTCTTTTAAAGGTGGGTGGTGATTGATCTCTTTCCTTCAAATAACTGAGCAGGCTTCGCTCTCTTCTTCCCTCCCGGCAGCTAGATGAGGGGAGAAGAGTTTTGTGCGACATCTGCCTCCACTCCAGAATCTCTTGCTCTGTGTTAGCTCCTGGGCATCTCTTCATGAACTACTCCACCTGCAGCAGTGTTCAGAACTAAATTTGGGGTATTAACAAGGTCTTACTGCAGCTGACCCAAAATAAACTAAATTATCCTAATGGGAAAAAAATAAAAATAGACCAATCCAAACCACCAGCTGGACAGAAGAATTTGCAAACGTGTGCCCAACTGCATTTTCCATACTATACTGGTATATATACAGTAGGACAAATCTGGAAATAATGAAATAAGAGCAGCTTTTTCCACATTGCCGAGTGAAAAATACTCCTCAGTAACCATCAGTGAGGCTTTTGGAATTTGGACTGCAGCTCCCAAAGTAGCATGTGATGAGGAACCTTGAAACATGAAAACGCCCAGATCCCAATCAAGCTCATCTGTAGTTTTTCGGGAACTGTACAATGCCAGGGGTAAAAGCACAGGATTTCTGTACTTCTTATTCTCACACGGAGTGAAAAAGCAAATGTAGCTTGTCGCCCATTCTGGTAGTTCGTGTAGCTGCAGGCCCAATAACATCTGTCTCCCTTTTCCTTTACATCGTAAGAACCGGGATAAGAAGTGTTTCTTCGGCTGTGAAATCATACTGGAGGCAGCAGCTGCTGAAGTGAGCTAGAAAATGACAAGTGTAGGCAGGATACAATGCATCGAAAATAGATGCCAGCTGATGGAACCGGGGGTTTAAACAGCCTGCACGGTGCCCATTACCATCCAGTTCTGCAAGCAAGCAGGAGTGCTTCCCTTCAAAAACCTCCAAGTGTCCGTTTTGGAGAGAAACACATCCCGGCACGCATTTTATGCAGAGCCCAACAACTGCGCCAAGTACCCTGGAATGTGCTCAGCAGTCTGATTCTGTGAGCTCTTCCGTACTGAGAGGAGTTTTCATTTTAACGTATGATTAAGACTTGAATCTATTACGGAAGCAGAAACAGAGGAGGAATTATCTTTCATGATATTTAAAAAATAAGTATGTAATTGAGTGACTGCATGCAGTCCTGAAAACAATTTAAAGCTGCATGTGGGCATAAATCTTTTTTCATAGTTATCTACAGGAATTCATGAAAGCATAAAAAACGATGTCTTACAAAAATGGCCAACTGGCAAACCCAGTATGTCAGTACTAGTAGGAACTTCTGCCTTCAGCAGCATCACACCCAATTTTATGATGACTTTAACCACAGTACTATCACTTCTGAGCACCGAAATGATGATTTTCAGAGAAAGTGTCAAAAGGATAATTGGAAGGATCCCAGCAATTTAAAATCACACCTACCGTTCTTTACAAATACATGCATGATTTATAAAAACAGCTTAACTGCAATCTTCCTCTGGCTCCCGAGTTACACTCGGTACGTGCCTTCGCTAGAATGGTTTGAACTACAAGTTCCACTGTTTCCCCTGCATAATTTGTATCTTCTGTTGTTTGTGTGGGTGTCTTGCTCAACGACAGAGAGAGGGATTCTTTTAAATATGAAAACATTTTTGTAAAGCCACAATCACATAAGGAAAAGCAGGCAAGGAATATTTTTAGTTGCCCTTTCTGTTTGTGCTACTCAGTTCTGCAATGATGGCATTTAAAGACCTCTTCAGGAAGGCAGCAGGGGCCTGAGCCAAAGCCCAGGTAATATCCTAGGTGGACCTGCATTGAATTTTCCTGGTATTAGACTGGACTCTGCACAATTAAATTTCTAAATTGCTAGGGGAGGGTATCCTTAGAAAATGACAGCAGTGATGACACTCTGAATGTAGCTGGATAGGAATCACTTGGTTACTTACCGATCTCTTGTGCCAGCTACCCCACGTAGGAGGTTTTGTGTCCACATGCTTTTAGACTGTAAGAGAGGAAAGGCACCCATCAACTTCTTTTATTTTACCATTTCTGTGAAAGAGGTTTTCGCCTTTTTAGCCATATGCATGCTTCCCCTGTGCGTCCTCCCTGCCAGTTACCTGTCATCTACCTTATGTTCCAGTTTTATAATCCATTTCACCTGAAGATAAGATTGCGCCTTAAATTCTATATTCACTGGGAGGCCAACTTGTCTTATCTAACTACACAGCTATACTGTCACTCTGAAAGAAATACAGAGACGTGAAGCACCTTATGTGTTCAAGGATCTCAAAGCTCTTTACAAAGAGAGATGGAAGTGCTGACAGCGGAAGGCAGTGTACTAAAAATCATCGGCAATCGCCGATGTGGAACTTCCATTAGCTTTTATGCAGCCTTTGACATGTCCATCGGTTTCATTAAGAGAATTAATGGGAGGCGGGACACTAAGATTGTTTCATCTTGTCCTTGGAGCATTGACTGTCAAAGAGACTGATGCAGTAAATAAAGCATTTGGGGTAACAGTGACCAGTCTATATGAATTTCACCTACCAACAGCTCAGAGCATGACATTGGACACTTTTTACCAAAAAAAAAAAAAAAGGTCCACAACAGTTGGCTTTAAGACACTGACTTTTCCTTCTTTCTTTCCTCATAAAATGGCAGCACTTCATCCAGGAACTGTCAGGTCTGTATCTGTCTCGAATTTCCCCAAATAAGAGAGAACACTGTTCTGTCCCTAGTCTTTCATGAAATCCATCAATGCTCCTTTTGATTCAGAGAATACAGTGCTGCTTCTCCTTAAACAGTCAGAGGACAGAAGTACTGCCGGAGAGGGCTCACAATTACTCTTCATGCTGTACACACGTGACTGTTATTCTGCCCTGACCACCGCAAGATTGAAGTGTGCCTTTGGTATGGAAGAGGCCAGCGAGACCTGCACGGCCAGTCTGCCCGGACGCCACGTGGCCCTGCCACTGGGGAAAGACCGACCGCCACGAGGGCAGGACACAGACACAGAGAGAAGTCACACCTTGGGACAGGCTTTCTTAAGCCTCCAAGGGCAAGTTTAGCCAAAACCTTCCCTACAGAACAATGATTTCAGGGCTAACCATCAGCAAAACCGTCTTGCTGAATGTTCTAATACCTTCAGATAGGCTGTTCACCATATGTACGGGTGCTCTAATGGGCGTGGTGATTTGACTGTTATTAGCCCACTATTATTTCTTACTCTGATAATTCTTTGCCCCCACAGTTTTTAGAGAACGACCATTGAATCGAGTACGTTCAGAAATGTTAGTCCTCTTATGGTTTCACATGCATTTTTTTAAGTAAAGGGAGCTAGTAGCCTCACTATTTATAAATTCTGTATTTATCCTTCTGGTCTGCTCTCCCAGATTTCTTGCTATCAGTTCAGCTTCTTGTTTCTGTCTTTTCATCTGTCACAGAAGACACTATTCACTTAAAAAAAAAAGCAGACCCAGATACACATCCCACAGCATTTTAGAGCTGCTAAAACTAATAGTTGATGCAAGTAGTGCTTTTAAAGTTAAAAGTACCAGTTGATGCAAGTAGTGCTTTGTAAGTTAAAAGCGCTACACAATCTCTGTTTTAGCTGAGGATAAACAGTTGTTACCACGGTGCAAATTAGTAATGAGGTGTCATTGGCAGAGACAGAAAAACGTAGGTCTCCAGAGCCTTATTCTAGTGTGCTGTTCCCTGAACAGCGTTGCCTCCAAATGCAAATATTTGCCTGAAGAAAATGTTCGTGCTTCCTATCTAAATAAACAGCAGCCTTGAAATTTGCAGTAATTAATGTCGCCTTTTGACAGCACTAAGGAAATACTTCTACAGCTGTCATATGTAAAGAGAGGACTGTCTTAAAGCACTTGGCTCGTTCATTTTTTCCAGGCCAGTTGCTAATATGGTGGTTTAATGAAAGATGGCAGAAAGAGAGGAGGATTCTGAACTTCAAATGTAATAATAATAGTTACCATGAAAATACACAGAGACATTCAGTGACCTGTGCTGAAAAGATGATTCCCCTTTGGCAAAGGTACGAGTGCAGAAGTTGGTATATTTTTTTATTAGCTGAATTAGCTGTCAGTGTGATAGTAACCCATGAACAGTAAGTCATGGAGCATGTGCATGCATCTCGGTGCGCGCACACACATATAGATATATAGATATACACACACATAGGATAGAAGTATATTGATAAACGTGACCACACACGTGTGTGTGGTCATAGGTCTATCAATATACTTACATTCCATGATCAATACTATTGTCTTAAATATAAAGACATTAAAAAAGACATTTAAAAAAAACATAAAAAGAAACATGCCTTTTTCTAACATAAAAAGAAAAATTCAGCAGAAAGTAGCAATGTGTCACTGATTATTGATCTCTCTCCATCTTAATAGATGATAATACAAGACAAACACTTCCCTGTCGCAGATTGGAACAAGAAGCAAATAATATGCCTTATACTTTGCTCTCCTGTCCGATCTGGATTTTAACTTCCTAAATTCCTGTGGCTAAAACCAATGTTGTCGAGCCTTTCAGCGTTCAGTGTGTTGGGTTAAGGGCCATTGCTGAGGCCATCGGCAGGTTCTCCAGCTCAGTAGCAATAATGACGGTGAGCAGAGTGAGCCTTGCTTTTCCATTTCCTCCTCCTTACAGCTGCTGTTACAGCTACCACACCTGCTGTGTAGCTAGCCTCCTTACACAAAAATCAAATAAACACTCTGTGCCGTGGTTAATGCTTTCTCTGAGTGCAGCTTCAGCTAGCTGGAAATGACGAAAAGCATAACTCAAAAGTGTTTTGCCTGCCCTCGTCTTGCCTGTTTGATCCAGGGCAGGCATTGAGGTAACTCTTGCCAACCGGACTGAAGCCAGATTTGAAGCAGGGCAAGGCAGATGTAAGCACTATCCCCAGTGGAGCTCTCCCAGGTTTCCAGCTCAGGCTAGAACCCACTCCTTGTTTGAGGCTCTTGTGTCGGTGGTCTGAAATGCATGTGCCTCAGGGGAGCAACTGGTAGCGTGGTACAAAGATGATGCTTTTTGATCAAGAAGCTCCTGGTACACACGTCTTATCTCCACCCCATCTCCTTCTTGGGAAAAAACAGGTTTTACCAGGTTGATAGACTCTGTAACTGTCTTTGTCAATTCTGGGAATTTAATCATCTTGGTGTTTTTCAGTCTCGGTACTCAGGTGTTCATGTGCAGCACTTCTAACGCAGCCAGCTCCTCCCTGTTGAGTAAACTAGTCTTCAGAGACTAGTCTCTAAAGTCTAGAGACTTCATAGAGACAACCCCAGCACTCATGAGAAAAGTAGACCACAATCTCCTTCCACAGCCTAAGTAACCAAAGGACTTCTAGCTAGCAAGCTTTCCTGTAACCGTGGTGTCGTTAGCCACTGAGCCACCCACAAACACAAGTAGTAATGAGTTGAATCTGACCTTATCAGATGAAGGGGGTAGTGTTGCTTTGCAGGAAGTGAAGCAAAACTAAAGCAGAAAGTGCGTTTATTATTTTCACAGAGTATTTAGCTTTGAGACAGTATTTCTTTGAGAAATGTTATTCAAAACCTAATGGGATGAAAGGCAAGATCTAGACCTAAGTTCTTGCCTCCCCAGCCACACCCTTTAATAATCTTCCCACACAATGTCATGTAACATTACAATTTCAAGTATTTCATGTATTCGGCATTAATCCCACCTATCACATCCAGCTTTCACCTCACCGCCAGCAGTCCTTCTGACAGGAAGACTGCGTTATGACCTGGAACGCAAGCCTGCTTCTATACCTCCAAGGTATTTGGGGTTTCTCAAGATTCCTCATCTTTTTCTTTCGGTCACTGGCCCAGAGATTAAGGAAAGGGATAACTTCATCCCAAAGTGTCCTGGATCTCATATATTGTCTCACAGAGCAATCAAAGAAAGATCTGCAAAGTTGTTCCATCTCTTCTTTCTACCCTTTAATACATAACACTTAAGATAATGAAAGCAAAAGGAGTGCTAGCAGGTCGATCCCAACAGTTACTCCCACCTCTAGGAACACAAAAGTTAAATTTGCACAGGAATGGGCCATGACTTTTCTTCCTTCTTCTAAAAGATTAATTTTAGTGAACCCAACATCCTGGAAGAACAAAGCGTGCTACTGATCAGCCATAATACTGTATAAATGAAGGCACTGAATACTAGTGAGCACCCCCTTAGCAACACATTCTATTAAAACCTTAGAAGTGTCTTATTTTTAATGCGAGAGTGAATGCTCTCACAGGAAACGATTAAGGTGGGCAGGTACGTGGCAGACAGAGCTATGGGAAGATAAAGCTTTACCCGAGAGACAGTTGACAGGTATCAGAAAAAGAAATGGTCTAGCACTGAAGTGGTTGGGAGGAGTCCCTGGAGAAAGGAGGAAGCTGCCCTACGGAAAGGCTGATGGGGCTCTGGGAAAGGGCCTGCTCGCTCAGGAAAAGCTCATGATGTCCAAATGGCAAACAGCTGAACTCAGATGATCTGAGAACTGCTCTCATCTATGTCACAGACTTCCCAAGTCATGTTATCTTTTTCTGCCTCCTGATATCCTCATTTTAGAATAGTAATAATGACAACTTTCCACCTTTGTAAGTCCTCGTAAGATCTATGGATGGGAATCACTTAAAAAGTAGACAGTATTTTTGATTTCTGTAATACGCAGCCCTGTAACCCAGCTAGTCTCTCTCAAAAGCCAAAAAATAATCTAGCTCAATTATTGATTTAGTATGGCAGTACCTCATCTTTTGTCAGCAATGCTGTTCAAAATTTCTCCTTTAGCTCTGCTCTCAACATACAACTTCATTGTTTATGGTTCCACATGAAGCACAAGAATCAAACTGCTCTTCAGCACAATTTTTTTAACTCATTAAAAAGATAGCATGACATGATATTGAGTTGTAAATAAAACTCCATCCAATTTAAACAGATGTAAAGAAGGACCTTCTTAAGCTTCTAACCTAACAAATTCACCATAAACAGTAACATAATCTGTGCAAGTAGCCATAACCCTGTCTATGCAATCGGTGTATTAGTCCATATTACTTATTCAAGCAGCGGTATATTAGTCCATATTACTTATTCAAGCAGCATCTGTTCCATTTCTAGGCATTACAAGTATTGCCAGGAAGAGGTATCTCTTACTGCACATTTCTTTTCAGACTTGTTTCCTGACATCTGGACTTCCTGAAACAATTACTGGAGTACAAGGGCCGGAGAAAGTTAGAAGTGGGAGACTAGTTTTAGCTCCAAGCTGAAACCAACTTCTTGTCACTCCTTCTGACTGGCGTAATAACAACAGAGCAATTGATTTCTTTTGTTTGGGGAATTTGATCAGCAAACTGTTTCTTTCAAACATGTGATTCTCTTCAGAGATCATTTGCAAATTCCTTCTTTCCTCTGCCTGTCAGAAACAAATGTCAACATAATGCTGAAGTCCAGGACACAATATTCTACACCAGAAAAATAGTGTCAGAATTTGCACTGGGGCCTTCAGGGACACACAGGGTTTAAAAGGCTAACACGTTAGTTTATAGATTACTCCTGGTAGCGGAAGGAAAACTGATTTTGTTTCCCTGCCACCTAGCTCTCACAAAACACATTTTCCAGTTTGTCATCTCATATACTTGGCTAGAAGAAATAGTAATTAATTTTGAGCAGATATTGTGTACTAATTCTAAAAATATGAGGCAAAACAGAATAATCGGAGTTGTAAGATATTTACTTACCTTCTACAGTTGATGCACCCACATGACAATGCTCTTGTTCAGGAATTATGGGCAGTATCTTTGTGGTCTGTGCAGTAAGTGGAATCTGTTGTTTGCTGGTTTTCACTATTGAAAGTTAAAATCATTTTTATCAATATTATTAAACAGCAAATACATCTGCAGAGTGTTAAACGTTGAATCTGCAAATTTGAAAATAATCAAGACCTATCTGAACACAAGGCAGAGGTGGACAGCCAGTGTTTCGGTGGGATTTCAGTGCCTAGAGATGCAGATACCTGTCAGGAACTCCTGAAAGTACTAACCATGTTTTGTATTTAAGTTCCTCTTGATACTAGTAGGACTACAACACACTGATCCTAAGTCTCTCTGGGAAGCAGCTCTAAGGTAGGCAACTAAATTGCTCTTGGAAATTTTACCAGTAGTGAAAATGCAAAAGCATGCAAATTTGGGGTTAACTAAAAGTCTCCTAAAATTCAAAAACCTACAGTTGGCCAGTTAAGCGGAAACAACTGAAATTTAGAGTGTGAACTTTCTGATTCATTTTCACATAAGGGAAGCCCACATTGCCGCTCAGAAACATGTGATGTGGCCTCAGCTAACTTGTCATACACACAGGGAGAGCTACTGGGTATCATCCAGTTGTTAGCAAAGATGAGAGCATGCACCTCAGAAGCAGGGAAAGGTGTGGTGATGCCTTTAGCACACTGGCAACACAGACACTGATATGATACCTTACTGGGATACAGATAAAGAAATGCAGAAATAGCATTGTCATGCTAATGAAGTCAGAGTCGTTGATATAATGCATTTTTCAAAGAACTACCGTAGAACACAAATAATATCTTAACTCCAGGTCCATCCTGTCCCCGACCATAACTCCTGTAAACCTACAAATGGGTTTGCTACTGAGTTCATAACAAGAGGATGAACTGTGTCACTTATATGTAGCTACATCCCTTCTCTGCTTACTATATCATTTGGGCTTCTCTCTTTACAAATGCGATTAAAAAGTGGAGTTTCGATCTTGGGAATTAAGCAACTGAATATGAAAAGCAAAGTTAAAATAATACTGGGGTAGTTTTAAAAATAGCAATTGATCTTGTTTCACACTCAGGATGAACCTGGAGAGAATGGGAATGTAGGCTGATTATCCCTTCAGAGCCTGTGTGTAACGCTGTTCTGCATGCACGCAAACTGAGCAGAGAAATGGCTCCTTGTGCATCAGTGCTCTACTGAAAGCATACAGGGGCTATGAAAAGCTCCCTAAAATTACCTGCATCCTATAGATTTTATCCTCCTTTCTGAAACATAAAAAAAGACCCAAAGCGGTAATAAGGCTTCACATTTTTCTCTGGTAATGTTGCGTCTCAGAAACATGTAAGCCTGTGTTAAATATTGAATACTGTGACAAGCTTTGCTTTTCCCAGCATTATTCATCTAAGTTGCAGAGGAGAAGACAACTTATTCTGCTATGTCAGGAACTGAGAAGGCTCAGAATCAAACAGGTGATGCTTCACTTGGCCAAGATTAAACAAATTTCTCCTTTCTTGGCTTTGCATCTATTTGCTGCTGTAGAAAATGTCTCTTGCCTGTCCTCATTGCTAAAAAGAAAATGTATTGCAGAATACAAGGAGGAGCGAGTCTGAATTCACTGGGATGCCAGCCCTGACACTACTGAGCCAGCATTTGCTTCTATTTCCACCCTGTCAACTAACCTGAAGCTGTAGCAATACATCAGAGAGATGGCAGAATTTTGCCTATTTCCTCTAATATTGTAGGAGAGGAACTGTTATTTTAATAGGATAGCACAGAAAACAATACAGGAATTCAAATGACTGAGAGGAAATTTGTCTTGTTGTTTCTTATGTGCAAATTACAGATGTCAAGCCCACTTATATCAAATGCTTTGGATGTCACAAAATCTAAACAGTCCAGAAAACACCTGCAGGTCAGAAACCCTGAGGTTTTATTCTCTGAGTCCTGGTTGTCACCATGATCCTACAATGTCCTTCTTTCAGGATGAGTTATAAAATCACCATCCATCAGAATTAACTTTGCATTACTGTGAGCCAGACAAGTGAGTCAGGGAATCCTGACTTCGTATCCTAAAATGTAATGAACCAAACCCTGACTCCGTGAGCCAATGGAGTATCGCTGAAAATGAGAGAAGTATACCCTTTGAGCAATGTAGAACAAGGCATTGTGTTTGAACTAAGGTTGCCCACACAGTCTGCAGAGTAATAACAATGATATTAACAACATGATTCTCTGTCTGCACGGTCCCATTCTAGCATAGGAATGGGAGCAGGCCTTTTTTCCAATAGACCTTATGCTGCTTTCAAAATAGGGTAAAAATAAACAAGGAATATCATTCTTATGCTAGGAAAAGAAGGTCTAAATGGGAATTTATAGTGGTAGACTTCTAGTAATGTAAATTCACACTTACATATAACCCATATAATTATATTAATGAAACTTCCAGTATGAAAAGAGCCTGCTAGGCAGATTCAGTCTAGGTATTAAATGCCCTGATTTATGCAATCTGTTTCCTGTGCAATGCTGCTTTTTTTTTTTTTTTAATAATGTAGTGTACAGTTCACACACTCTGGCCTGCTCCCAACAAGCAATTCTGTGCCATGTCCCCAGGCTTATTTTTTTTTTTTAGGATACAGCTATATGAGAATAGTTATACTTAATCAGTTACTAGTAGTGGAAAAGGTACTACAGTGGTTTAGGGAAAGTGGGCTAAGGGAAAGATGTGTAAGAGCAGAGTAAGTATAGCTGCCTTCCCTTTCTCTGGAACTGAGGCTGATTTAAGCAGTAAGCTGCGCATGACAGTTCAGCAGTTTCTATTTGAGTTCTTTTAAAACACTGTGGGGAATACTGTCTAGTCCTTCTAATTGCTATTATTAATTTATTAAGTTGTTCCAAAAACTCTTGTACTGCCTCTTCAATTTGAGAAAGCTCCTCAAAGAAATTCTTGCAATAAAAGTCTCTTATGTGGGAATCTCCCTAAGATTCTCTGTCATGAACACAAAGCAAGGAACTGACTTTTCTTCTATGGATTATTTTCCAGGTGCTACTACTATCAAGTCCTATTTGATATGAAAATGCTCTATGTCTGGAAATACAGATCAGTCACTTAAAGAATACTTACTTCTTGTACTGCAGGAGCAG